AGTGCTGGTTTAGTGTATTTATATACCTGTTTCCACTCATCATCTGTTAATGATGAGTGTCTTGTTGGTACTGAATAGAATTTGATGACCAAGAAGTAATATTAATCACAGAACAAGTACAACGAATGACAGTTGTAGCGGAACATGAAGCATCGCGAAATAAACAAGAAAATAAACTAAATCAACTCTATCTAGAAGCTGCACAAAGAGAAATAAATCAATTTAGAGAACAAATAATAAAAAAAAATAATACTAAAAAAGACAAGAAAGAAAAGCTAAAAGCTTAAATATTACCTTTGATCAGCAAGAAGAAAGCAAAGTCAAACCACCGAAAATGTGAATATTTATTAAGACACAATTGTCACAATTAGATCGAATTCTACAACTAGAAAAAGAACAAGAAGATCCAAGAATCAGAACTAGATTAAGACAACTAAAACAACGATTAAACAGTATGGAAACAAAATATAAGTATGTTTCCCAATTATCAAGACAACAAACTAATGAACATATTCAGGAAATTGAAAGGGTCACAAATAGAAAAATATTAGAAGCAGAAACAGCTGAAGACAAAAAAGCTTACCTATACAAAACAATATCCACATTAACAGAAACAAAAGATGCTATTCTCTGGAAGAATAGAGATCTAGTAAAAGTTCTAGAAGAAGAATATAGTTATGCAACTAATCAAGCATTAAACTTAAACAGAAAAAATTTTGAGGCAATGCAAGATTATGAACAACGAATCTTAATAGAAAGATTTGCTAGACAAATAGAACAATGTGAAAGTGAACCATTACGAGAACAATATCAAGCAAAATACAGAGAACTATTAGGAGTATCTTTAAAAAATCTAGATAAAATACATGACATAGAAGATGAAGAAGAATGAATGTTCCAAGAACAACAACAAGCCAGAAGACAAGGCTTTGAATTACCAGAAATATTACCACCGAAATATCTATATCATGAAGAATATTTACCAACAGTAAATAAACCGCAAGAAACAGAACAAATAGCAGATAGATGGCTACTAGATGATAACTTTGGAAGAACATTAGAATGGTTAAATAAACAAGATAAAGATCAGTATACCAAAATACCAGAACAAACAATATCAAGAACAACAACAAAACCAAGCTCACCAACTTCACCAACTTTCCTTAATAAAGCAAAAGGTATAGTGCAGGGCACATTAAGTGCAGCACAACAGATGCTAAGTAGAAGAAATTCAATGCAATCGACACAATCATCCCACTCTAAACAATATCAACATAAATCATCACTACTAATAAAAGAAGTACGACCAACTGATATAATATCAGAATCAAGTAGTCTTTATGTACCAACAAGCAATGATGACCAACCAGTATTACCAAAATATGGCCACAAAAAACAAAGGTTGCAACTATCAAATCAATCATCCTCAATAAGAAATTCGTGATTAGAACAATTCAGAAGAGAAAATCAACAAAGACAAGAACTATTCAGGCAAACAGAACAAGAACAACTAACACAAGAAGATGCACAACAAATAGCTGAATTAGATGAATATATTCAAGAAGACACAAACGACTATAATGATTACAGTCAGAATAACTATAATAATTAACAAAGAGAATTATATGATCCAAATGACGAATATGAAGCAGGAGAATCATCTCTACGATATAATTCTAAAGAAACCAAATAGACTCGAATTATAGAATCTGAATAGAATGGTCAAAAAGTCCTATATTCAGTACCAACAAGACACTCATCATTAACAGATGATGAGTGGAAACAGGTATATAAATACACTAAACCAGCACT